AGTGGTACAGGAGATTTGACAGATTTCTGTCTTTACTCACAACAGGACACAGAAAAAGGTCTCCAGTTTGTTTCACTTTGCCTGTCCGTGTTTGTGTCTGTGTATGGAATGTGTTTGTTTGCGTAGCTCTATGCATTTATGTAATCTGACTGGCATTCTTCGGTTCTTCTTGTTCTTTTTGTTCTTCTATTTCTGTCTTTATGTGATTAGTTTTATTACGGATTTAACTATAAAGAAAACCAGGAAATACAATGAAGGTTGTTTCACTGTTCACTCGTTCACTTATCTTTAACCCAGTTTGAATCCACCTTCCTCGCGTCGAATTCCTCTTAGAGAAGAAGGAAAGAATGCGGCACAAATTGAAAGGGATTTTAAAAGTGAAATTCTGCGAAAAAATTATGAAATGGATTATATATTTTTATTATCATTTTATTTCTTTCGTATTCCTAATTATCAGTAGCAGTGGGATTTTTTTAACATTTATCTGGTGGGATTCCTAGCCTCACTCCCAGTGTTTCCTCTTTAACTGTTTAGAATTACAAAATGAATGAGGTCTAGGAGTGCGTCAGCTATTTTTTTTTTTTTATTTATTCTATTTATTTATTTTTGATTACAGCTTGATTCCACACTGTATTTTTGGTACAAGTATGGAATTTTCAGCGTGGATATCGATAGCCCAAATTTCGCAGGCCAACCATAGATATCAGGTGTGCGCCGGTGTGGGCTCGAACCCCGGACCATGTGAGTGATCGGCTAGAGCTAAACATTGATCCCTGAAGCACATTGTTAATGTTTGATGAACATTCTTCCACTGTGCCATTCTAACACAGATAACATCAACAACAGCCAAAAAAACTGAAACTTACATAGACAAAAATTAGACAAAGTCAGGTTAAATCCAGTAATCTGTTTCCAGACTTTGGTGTTTCATTTCGATTCTCCTGTCTTTCAACACTCTACCTATTTCACTGTCTTTTGATGCCAGTTTCATAGTGCTGTTACATTTTCCCTGTACTGGAGTAGTAATCAAACGCCATTCAAATGCATTTCACTGTATGTGTAATCTGTTATTTGCAAAGGGGAACAGGGAAAAATAACTAACTAAAGTTGAAAGTCTCAAAATTAGCCCTCAGTGGTATATTGCCATTGCACTCGGTTTTATTCAATCCCCTTCAACTGGTTTAAAAGCTGCCCAGCAGTTTTCATTCACTTGTCACCTAATTGTCTGTCACCTAATTTGACGGACAAGGATGTCGAATCGAGCGAGAATCGGGATAGCGAGCGAGAAACACATTCATTCATCAACCTGAAACCAATCTGGAAATCTTCGTCACTCAGTATCAACAAAAAAAATTCGGTAGGATTTTCAATACAAACAATGTCAAGTCAGTCAGTTCTTCCATACGGATCAGAAACTTGACGGGCGGGTCACAAAGAATATTTCCAACAGGTCACTGCAGTCCTTTATCAACAACTGTCTTCACTGGCTCTATACTGAAGATCAGATGGCCGAGCTGGAAAGAATCACCAACAAGAAACTATGGGAAGAAACAAAACAAGAACCAATCGCCAGCCAACAAATATGCAGGAGAAAGTGGAGATGGATCGGGCACTCGCTTGCTGAGGAGGCCGCTGGGTGACATCGCGCATCAGGTCATTGCTAGAGTGGAATCCGAAAAGGAAGCGGCGAGTGGGTCGTCAGTGCAAGGGTGACATGGAAAAGATCGTGTGAAGAGGAGTTGAAGCATTATGAACTAACATGGATGCAGGTGAAAAGTACAGCAAAAGACAGAAGCAAGTGAAGACGTGCATTTGAAGCCCTATGTTCCACTAGGAACCCAAAGGAACGATAATAATAAATGTCACCTAATTGCCTCCGTATCACCGTCGAATATCCCAACATGTTGCTTACGACGCGTCGATCTGTCTCTTGAAAACCTAATTCCTCAGAGTGTAGTTGACTCATCACAATTTTCTTCTGCATATCTCTAAGATGGTAGGTTCTTGACTAATTTTGTAGTGAGAGCTGGTTGCAAGCCAAAATTGTAGACAACAATTTACATGAATGTTACATCCCGAATCGGCGTCATGAGAAAAACAATAACAAAGCATAACTTTTAGGAATTCACCAACCAATCACAGCACACCCCTAATGTGTGCAAATATGATTCGCAGATACATGGCTTAACTTTCTAAGAAACGGTCACAAGCAGTACAGAATAACCTTCTGCAAGAAAAAAAAACAATCAGAAGACGTTGCTTCTTCGCTAACAATAATGTACATAAAAATCTATAAATATATCTTGATTTTCTCAATAAAGAATCTGTTGTCTGGTCCTTGGCTTCTGTCATTACAATTCGCTATCTAACAGGGTTGCGTGTTGCATATCATTGCAAGTTAATCGTTAGTGTCAAGGGAAGATAGATGTTCTAGGTGACATGCTCATCAAATCTCTGAGCCATTTGATATGAATGTTAAAAATTCGGTCCTTACTCCTTGTCCTGAACGTCTTATATCACCAGACTGATTTTCGTTTTGTTTTTCATTCATTACGGAATAAAAAAAAACCTTTATTATAATGACTATCATATACCCAATGCGCAAATTTTTATATCAAACTGTTAAAATTGAACTTGGTTTGGACACATATAAGTTAGTCCCTTTGGTAAATTTAATTAGGCCATTAAAATGACAAGCATCACGAGGTCGCATTACAACTATCATGGTCCACAAAATAATAAATTAAAATGTATGAGAATTACTCTGTCAGATAAAATGAAATCACATATTAATGTGTAATCATATTTCAGTAGGTCAAGTAATCGTAGGGTAGACGAAAATTGATGTATATTGTCTTCTGTACACATAATTTAGGATGAATATGATTCATCCAAAGTCCTTCCATCATCTTTAACAGTCCGGAATTAAGGTTATGTAGTATAGTTGAGAATCAAAGAGAGTACCCATTTTATTGGGATTAGAATCCAGGATCTTCCTCATTTTACAAGTCAAGCTTGTAGTTTATTCAACCACCGGGATCCAACTCAATGACCAACCTGTGTATTTTTCACCAATCTTGTCACCTCGTGATCTTAAGTGTACTCGTTAGTGACTGACTAGAGGTTTGAAGATATCTGGAGTTAATTCTAGTGAGTAGTGGAGACCAGCAGGATTCATCTGATCGGAAGTGAGGACAAATATGGATGACTTTGACTTAGTTCACAGAAGACAACTAAGCCCAAAAAAGAGACAGCTTTCTTTCATGCCGAAGTCATCTTTTCAGGCGCCAATCTCATGAAATGAAGTTTTCTGGATATGTGTTAGCCAATAAAACTGAATGTTTTCTCCATAGCATATTCATTAATATGTCCTTTGTGCACATTTTAACAGACCCTTGTACTTTTGTTTCATACAAGTGAGTAGTTATCAGGTTGTTTTGATAATTCGCTCTAATTATAAAATGATTGTAAGGAAACTACGAAGTGAGGACAGCATCTCACGAGATTTTTCCTACAAATATCTATATATGTACTTGTGTAATTATTTCTGTGTGTGTGTATCTACACATTCAGTATGTCAAATATGGCATGTGAATAAATTAGCTTGGTGTTTTCTCTGCCTCATCAAAATGTTTCAAAACAGTGAAGACTAGTCAAAATGTAACTTGGGGAAGAGTGATAATTAGCGAGTTTAGACCGTAAGTTGAGTTTTATGAAAAAAGTTCATAAAAAATAGGCGTTAATGAAAGAGAATACAGACAGATTGTACAAGGAGAAACTGTTTCGAAAATCTCTCCTGAACGACATAGTCAAAATATTGATACTTATTTGGATGTTTCAACCAACTCAGTAATTATTTTCTACTTTTCTCCTACACCTTGCATATATCATTGATCTGACATTTCAGTGTCATTTGTTGACTTGATCCTTACTATTATTTATCTTGATCAGTGTTTAATCACTTATTGTGTAATGCTTCTCTTTTTGGTTGTATGATGCTGCATTGATAATGTGTTGCTTTACGATTGCGATTTTGTTTGGATGAATCAGCGTGATTCTGACCACGAACTGTTAGCGGGAATTATTTGGTATATGTGATTCTTGTAAACGTACTCCTTTGACTCGTTAAGCCAGTATTAAAACTGGTAAAAAAAGAAGGTGGGGCATGAGACTAGTGACTCAGTCCCATACAAGGAACACCACTGCTACCGGTACTTCAAGCCTCTAGCTTGAAGCTAATCTATGTTCCACTGTGGCGGAACATAAAGGAATGAAAAGAAAAGAGAAGAAATTTTGCTCTACAGTACTTGTTTTGTGTTTTGAAACCTACATTATTGGTATAGCTGTCTAACGGCACTGCTAGGTAATTTTGAGTTTATTGAGTAGAACCATACATGGATTCAACGAAGAGTAATAGTAAAGTACATCAGGTCGAAGATGAAGGGAGTTACTTATCGATGAAGATATTGCGAAATGGCTGCTCTATGTCACGATTTGCCAAAACTTAGAATTCATGGAATGGTCATTGGATCGATATTTAATCGATCAGTTAGTCTTGTGCTACAGTGCCTGTTTTGTACTTAGTATGTTCTGCCGAATGTATAGCTGTCCACTTTATGGCACTGTTGAGGTAGTTTTGAGTTTTTGATGTTATTCTGGTTGTTGAATAGAACCGCATAGATCTATCTATTGAGAAATAAGCGTCTTTTTGCTGTCATTGGAGCGTTTTGTGACTGTGTCCATGTCTCAAGGAAGAAGCTGCAGCCAGATATGTAGCAAGATGCAGAGATCTGTCTCCCGCCTTTAGACCACAAAGAGTCAGGTCTGATCGTAACAAGTAGAATGCCTCCAATAGAATAGCGACACACACATACACATTCAGAGTTACTTTCTTCCCTTGATTCATGCATATTTACGTAATATCCTGCATAATCATATATCCATGTTGGTTGCTTATTAATACTATTTCCATTTGTTTGTTTTTTTGATCATGAATCTAGTTCATGACGAGGAACAATTAAATCCGGTTCGAGTTGAAATTAACAATTTGAAAGCCAGTCTAATATTTATGGAGACAGATATCAATGCAGATGATGTTGATGAAGAATTGAACGCTTTAGTAAGTTTACTGGATTTCTCCCCCTTGTCCTCCTCCACCTAATTTTTTTTCCCTGGTTTAATTTTTTTTTTATTTTTTAAAGTCTGTTAGAAGATGGAGATATTATTTTGCATAAAAAAGAATTCATCGTGTTATTGTTAGACAGAAGAGATATGTCATGAGCGATGTGTTCACTTTTGGGCATTTAGAGGAGATTCACAACATTCTTGCCATTTGATGAAACTAAGAATGGGAAATATATACCAGAAGGGTATGAGCTCATCTTTCTGTTATTTCAAGGATTCTTCTCAACTGTTTACAATAAAAACAGCACAATTGAAATAAAAATTACATTAAAGATCTAGACATAATAATTATTATTATTATTCCATTGAGTTCCAAATGGGGCTTCAACAACACTTCTCCACTACCTTCCATTCTCTGGAGTCCTCTTCAGCTGGCTACGGCAGCGACTGCCCATAATCTCGCATCTCCTCCTCGCCGTGAGATCTTCTCCATGTCAGCCTCGCACTGACGGCCCATTCGTCCTCTCCATTTGGATTCCACTCCGCCGATGGCCTACACTGAGAGCGATGTCATTCGACAGCCTTCTCAAAGTAAACCCAACCGAGCCATCTTGATTTTCCTCCACATATTTGTTGACCTATCGGCTCTTGGTTGCTTTTTTCCCACAGATTATTGTCACTAATTCTGTCTACCTTTCCTTTCCTTTCCTAACTGGCTCTGAAGTCATCATTTAGACCACCTGTACTTCAGCACAACTTTATTCATTAGCCTAATGGTCAAACTTACTACTTATTTCTTATTCACTTTTCATTTTCCCGCTGACTCATTAAACCCAAATATTCCACTTGTCATGACATGTTAGCTTCTAGTGCGTATTCTTTGACTATGTTTTAGTATAAACTTAGAGTAATTTCGTATGTGGTAACTAGCAGTAGAATCTAGGATGTGGATTTCGTCCTGCTACGGTTTCATCAACTGAATGTATTTCATTCTCCAGTGATGAGTGATGGTATGCTCACTGAGGCACAAGTTCAATGTCCATTGTTTCAAACATCAAGCTATTATCCACTGTTAGTCATCTATCATCTATCAAATGACTTCAAGTTAATCCTAAGTTATCATCGAAGCATCAGCAAAAGTAGCCAACATGTGCCAACATAAGCTAAACATTTTGGTTCATTCAATTAACAGGAAAAACAAAATTGAATTTAAAATAACTAATGACTGACAGCCGTGACACAAGAGATGACTCAATGGGTAATGCAGGCACATCAGGCAGCTGACGAATCCGAAATAGGACGAAATACATATCATAGATTCCCCGCGTCAGTTAAAAATACACCAAATTTCTCCAGGGGATTAAAGTATACGCGTTATGAACTCGTTTAAACTATTCGTAATCTTTCAGAAACACTAACGATCAATCTTTTGCGACCATCTATCACGGTCAGAATAATTGATTCCTTACCTACCTTTAATACCATATTATTCAAGATTTAAGCATCATACTAACGCGACACTTGTAAATATAATTCACTGATAAATCTTAAAATTTAATTCGAGAGGAATACTTCAGATGTGTTAAGAAGAAGCAATTTTAAGCCTACTTCAACATACTTCACAATTTTTCACAATTATCTTTCATAATGTGTGTTATAATCTCTCTTATTTGTATCGTGTATTTTTTTTTCAAATTTTTTTCGTCTAATCACATTGTTTTTAACAATTTTCTTCACAAATTTTTTCTCTAATTTAACTAGATCATAGACACAGCAGATGCTTATCTTGTAATTTATGCAGTTGACGATCGAAGTTCATTTTATGCTGCACGTAAAATTATCGGTTTATTATTAAGTCAATGTAAGCGGTCGAGTGCAATTATTTTGGCAGCTAATAAATCTGACTTGGTTAGAACACGTGTTGTCACTAGTGAAGGTAAGTGAAATTATCACCCTTTTATTTTCTGCTCAGTTTCTTTTATTGCTTTCCCTTTTATTCTTGAGTAATTTCACTGGACGAATGTCCTGAAGTTGTTAGGAGAAGTAAGTCGTGGTCATTAGAGTTGACAATATCATGGTGAAGCCAATGCTCATCATCATCACCATATCATGAGCTGACAAAGTGACAATTCCCAGGCCACTGAATCCGGACATAAGTGGATGACAGTTTTGGGATCAATCCTCTTTTGGATCATAGGTATGCTATGGTGAAGAGTCCCGAACTAGTACGGATCAGCTGTCAAATGCCCCTTGCTGGTGTTCAAGGATTCCTCTATCTCACGTTGGCTACTGAAAAAATTCTCATTGGAATTGATACAAATTCCTCCGGAATCACTGATATGAAATTGACAATAGTTTTTAGTTAACACAAATTACTCGTGTAGCAGTTATCTTACAGAATTATTATTTATTTGGTCTATGTAGAAACTTGTAATGGTTTACAAGTGTGACATGAAATATTATGAGTCGTTCGCGACCAAACTATAGACTGTTTCAATTAACTTCATGACTGTACCGATTTTCTAAGTGAGCACTATGTGGGTTGTTACAAGACAGAATAAACATGCCAATTTGATGGCTGTGTATAGAGGATGTTGGTTTTAAGCCAGATAATTGAGCATTACCAAAATCTCCCAGTTTATAAAGTTAGTTAGCACTGTGACGCGGTAACCAACCCGTTATGATGTCATCAGTATAATATTTTGCCATAACACTGAGATTTGAAAGAGGGAGTTCCAGTTGGACACGGATGAGCTAATCACGGACAGAGCTTGACTACGCCAACAACATTATATGACAGCTGCTTGTTCTTTAGCCCGCTTTGCATAAGAGAGAGCGCACAATGACGCGAATCAAAAAGTTTATTTCAATATCAGCCACAGTAAATTTTACCCATTAATGTCTGATTCAAAAATTCACCAAGAATATATCATTTAGTCTATAACTATGATCAATAAAATAGTAGGTGTTATTTTATGTAGACTAATTCTGATTGGCTTATTCTCAGACTGAACATCGATCACTTACGCAGGCCAATTCTGATTGGTTGGTTTCCAGAATGACCATGGTTACCATAACATTAATAAAGGATAATCAACTGTTTATGTGTCTACATATCAAAACCCTGAAAATAGATCAACCAACGTTTCTATCTGAACTCTTCTGGATTCATTTTTCAAAAATATATACTGAAACAAATTGTGGTATACTGAAATATCTAGACTTACAAAAATAAATGCCAGAAGATCTGAACTTCGCAGATGACTTATGCTTCGTGTTTCATAAACTCAAATATAAACAAGCAAAAATAAAAAAAAACTGGCTACAAAGGCAGTGAAATTAGGACTTTAGGTGGACAATGAGAAGACAGTAATAATCAAGACACTCAGTCAAAAACAAAGAGCAATTACCTTCAGTAAACGAAATCAGTAGCATCATTCCAATCACAGCTTGCATCGTTGAGGATGTCAAAGCCATTAAGGATTGGGCAGGCAAAACAAACCTTCACCATTCCGAAATCGATTAAAAGGTTTGAATCTCACTACAGAGAAAAATCATTACTCCATGGCAATACAATTACTTATTTCGCTGGTAGTTCATGTTCCAGTGCTCAGTCCACGGCCGTTGAACTTCAAAACCTAGGCTAGCAAACGCACCCCGAAGCTCAAGTTCAAATCCCTATATTTTACTCAAAACGTATAAGAATACAATAAGACTCATCACAAGGAACGATTCTCGAACCACTTATCTCAGGGCTTCTATGTGAGTCAGATACTTGGTGCCTGCGCCACCGAAAACATATCCAGTAGACAACTGCAGACTTTCATCAACAGCTACTTTCGCTCAATGCTATCAAAGAAGAACTGTGTTTGTCAGTGAATTACTCAATAAACTGACATTCAACAAATATGCAATAGTAAATGTTGATGGATTGAACATATACCAAGGAATTTATTTGAACTTTCGATTTTCCCGTCAATTGATTGAACGGAAGTGCTCGGCCTCAGGTGGTTGACATAGCGACTTCTTGTGCAAATGCTTTGACGATGTCTGGGAATGTAATTAGAATTAAATTGGTGAATGGTGACTACCAGTGGAATCCAGGATAAAGCTAATTTCGTCCTATTTGGTCAACCTGAGACCTACAAGAAAATCTAAAATTCAATTAAATAAATAATATGGCCCATTGCACAAGACCTGGGCAGCTCTCGTGGCCCGAGTGGTCTAGTGGATAACACTTTGGCGTTTGAAACTATGTGCAGTGGTTTTGAGCCTTGGTGGAAACATCATCACTCCCTGAGAAATGTAGGTATATCCAGTTGACGAGTCTCAAATGGGACGAAATGCGCATCCTGGCTGGATTGCATTGCTAGTCACCATCCACCAATTAAATTCTAATATACCAGGGAAGTTTTTTCTGCACTCAAATGAAAGTGCATGTAAGATGCTCGAGTAGAACTCGGATAAGTGTAACCACAGGTTGAATACTCAAATTTCACATTAAAAATGATCATGTCAAGTGGAAATAGAAACTTTTAGACAGTCTTTCAGCTAATAGCGAAAATGAAGGATGAGAATAGAGAGGATTTTGAGATTTGCTGTTGCCTCCAACCTTCAAGAGTTCATGAATATTCATTCTTTTTTCAATGAGGAAAATATAATTCCAAGTAGGAAAACAAAAATGAACATTTATTCAGCATAAAAAATTCATCATATAAACTTCCTCTCCTATTCACTGTTGTTGTAAGAAAACATAAAAAACCAAAAAACAAATGTGACATAGCATAGATCAGAGAAACAACGCACACCCTATGAATCATAAAATATCAATAGGGTAGATCATAATAGTGTTCTTGAAAAACAAAGCACTGAATTTTTTTTACCAGCTCCCAACATCATCCCATACCCACACTCCACTCCTCCTTGTAATTTTCTCCATGTCTCTATACATGTCCTTATCGTTCTCTCTCTTCGGATACCTGTTCCCACTGTTGATTCTAAGGTGATACATATTAACAACACATGTTTTTGTATTTCGATGTATTTGCATGTATATACACACACACAAACACACTGTAACATCAAAATGACATCAATAACAATTTAATTAGTGTTCATGAAAACAATTTCTCTTTCCAGTTGTGTATATCTCTCTGATTCTCTGACAAGAAAACATCTTTTTTCACTTATTTATTTATTTATCTATCTGTTGTTTGTTTTCGGTATTGAACATTGAACAAAATATATGCAGTGTTACTTTTCACTGCACATATATATCCTGTGGAAATATGATAGCTTCAATTGTCACACAATGATTACAATGTTGCCCATAATGATGATGAATATGCGTTTAACATTTAACAATTACCTTATGCGGTATATAGATATATATATATGTTCTAATAAAATAATTATCCTTCAAAGATTATCGTCATAGTTTGTATTTGCCGCGTAAATATTTTTGAAAATTCCCGCCTTATATTCTGTTCAATGGTTCGAAGGATAATTTAAATGAGTTGACATAATGATTTTGTTTTCTTCTTAGAATAATTAGGTGTGCGATTTTCATGACACCTTTAAGGATCGAATCTAGAACCTTTGGGCCACGAGAATGATATCACGGATCTTTCAACCAACGTAACCAGTAAATTCTAACCTCTATTAATTTTAGATGTATATAGCTTAATCGTCAACTCATGTCATCTTTGAGTATTTCTTTTCTCTCAGCTTGGTGAACCTCTTTGGTCATTACTTATGCTCGGAACAACATGCAACTTCGCTGTGTGTTCAGTCACGAAAAAGCGTTACATCATTCATTAAGGCTGACGAATCACAAACTAGGACGAAGCAACTGTCTAGTACTGTTTCGTTGTCAATAGTTCTCTAGCTAAGATTGGTTTGTGATGAAACCTTGAAATTTATCAAGCCCACACAATATTCAACACTGGAAAAGTATTTTCGGTGATGAGGCGGTAGCTCATCGATGAAGACATTGCGAAGTAGTCGCGCTATGTCGTGAATTGGCAGAAGTTAGAATTCAAGAACCATTGGATCGGGTCCCAGTGGCTCAATGGTCTACGAGCTCGCCTTGTAACCAGAAGGTCCTGGGTTTGAAACCCGGTGGGTGCGTACTGCTTAGGAGTCTCAAACTAGGGCGATGGGAACAGCTGTTCAGTACTCCTAGGTTTTCCAGTGGTTCCCTAACTGATGTCAGCTCATGATGAAATCCTCCATGCAATCAAACGAAATCCCTACAAAACCAATACTTGAAGATTCACTTTAAGACGAAAGATCTTGTAACCTGTTAAGTCACTTATTAGGCAAACTACATATCCTCAGATCACTGGTCTCAGAATACAAGGGACTATGCAGTGTAATAAGGAACATTACCTTGCCACAATATTGAATAAGATAACTCAAGAGAGTGGGTTAGATTTACCACCAGCGCACTTCTAAATCTCACCTCTTTCCAAGAAACTAGAGGCGCGTGCGATAGGTTAGCGATTTAACTCAGTGAAAAGAAACATCGTTCATGAAATGTAAAGCCTTGATGTTGGAAGTTCTTCTTCAAACGGAATGAATTTTCGATAGCATTCTCTCCGGTTTACTTAGTAAATGGAGTACCCGCCACTCGCAGTCACAACAACGTTTTCTTAACAGATACTTCTACGGACTATTCGGATTGAATACAGCCTAAGAGTACTGTTGATGCAGTTATTTTCGCCTTTTCTATAAATTTATGATAAGCAGTGCTTCCTGTTTACAAATACTGATTAAAGCACTGATAAATATCTATCCAGTAAGTCATATTTTCCATAGAAGGAATCGAAGATCAACAGTTTCACTGCAGATGTTACATTTAATTATGGATCTACAGAAGTTGTTCCACTGGGATGACAGGAGTTCAAGAATGACATGTACCCCTAATCAGTATAGTACAGTATACCGTTCTGGGGTTTCTTGATTACCATGTATGTTATCGAAAAGATCCAAATGATGTGTGATGTGAATAATTTTAGTTTCTAAAATGCACACTTTGCTGAAACCTCGCCTTCTTGAACTGGATAAATTGCAAATTGATTTTCCCAATTCGAATTTTACTAAGTGTAATAAACAGAAGATAAGTAGTGGTACTATTCTAGAGATATTTCAGGTCAAATGTCAAATGAAACATCACAATTTGTAATCAACAGGAAGATCGAGTAGAAAAGACAAACTAGGATTATAATTACTACAATGCAAGTCAGTTTGAATGATTATGGGTTAAGGATGTAGTATTAACGAAGTGGGGAGGAGGTTCAGACATATAAAGGTCAAACCCGTAGTCAAATCTATTGGCCGTTGCTCTTGGAACTTGATTTGTCGTGCTCGAGAACATATCCCAGAATGGCTAAGTAAAGGTGTAGTGAAAACCATTAACAGCTTGATATTGGACCATCTGGTTCAAACTAGCCACAAAGCCATTGTGGAAGAATACTTCTCTATCACCATCTACCGGGTGCCTAATAAATTGCCAGAATCATCGAAGCACCGCATACTCCAAACAGCAGAGGCTATTGAGATTCTCCCCAAACAACCAGTGCCCTGTGTTCAAAAGAAGCAAGTCCAGCCATCCCCTACTACTGCCCTGGCCGGCCTTTGGTAAAGACTATAAATTTATGTACTTGTAATATTATCTTTCCTAATTCTTGTGACATTCAGCTTATTTTATGTTGATGCGATTCAGATGTAATCTATGAATATTATTGATTCGATGTTAGCTAAACATCAATGTTGTTCATAACACTAATTCATTCATTCACTATAATGTATATGTAACTGTAGAGCCTGATAAAGAAGGCGTTATCGAAAAGAGTACTCTTTGTTCAGTATTCATTCTTTTGAAAATCTAATAATGCAGATAGGGATTTAAAAAAGTAAATATAACAAGTAAATGGGAAGATTGAACAAGAAAGGTAATATGATAATCATTATTGGTGAGACTGACTCAACATGTAAATAGAAGTTCACTTGCTTGTGTGGAATTGATTACATTGACCGTATAATGCGTCCGTTTGTACAACGTGCGCAGGAACACCATCCGGCATGGCTAGCAAAAAAGGAAGGCAGAGGGATATACATTTCGACAGCAAAACATCTGTTGAATTCTAGCCATCCAGTCTCATAGGCGAAGTCCTTCAAAGCCATACATAAAATCCAATACAACCTACCAAAGTGAGTGAAATTAAAAACATCTAGGAATAGCTGAGGCACTGGCGATCCTAAAACTCAAGCCTATTCTGTGTATATAAAAGAAATACTTCCAGTCGTTGTCCCTACCGTGGCCATCATGAAAAGTCATTCCCACCAGTAATGATTATCCTATTACCTTTCTTG